GTGTCAATTGAATGAATCTGATGTTCACTTTAACTGCAAGAATCAGGACGACTTACCGGGGACCAATGACATACTCCTAGTTGATGGAGTTCGGACCGAGAGTAGCCAGTTTTCTCACTGGCCGACGAGATGACTTCACATTTTTTCACCATCAATTGGCTCCGAAGTAGCATTCTTTTCTAATTTAGTTGTTTATCCAATGAAGATAAACAAGAGCGCCATTGCGCTTGAATTTCCCTTGGATAGTGAGATTCAGCAACAGAGACTTGTACATATTGTAGGTGACAATGATTCTTTTCCACGCATTAGCTGAAGTTGTCGAATTCTTACTCTTTGTTGCCGCAAATCTGTGCCGTTCCAAATTTTGAGTTATGCCATTAAAATGCACTTCTTGTTAATTTGAATCGCTCAAACAGCTACCTCTTGAGGCAGCCGTCAATCGGAGGGCTTTTTGTTGATTACGAATCAAATGTGGGATGATTGCAACAAGGGCATCTCTAAGTCGGAACACATAGAATAGGAGAACTCTCCCTGGTTGAGAATTGAGAGTCTTCGGTGGAATGCGCTTCTCTCAGGTCCTCACCGTTGTTTCTTTCTCGGTTCTGTGTTTATTGAATGTTGTTGGCATTTTCTATATCCGCGCAATTAAAAATTACTAAAAATTGATCACAACCATGTTAGCGTTCTTCTTCCTTCGACCATGTAGAATCAATCTTTTATTTTGTTTTCTTTTATTTTTGACACAACTGGGGTACACCCGGCACATAAATTAAAACAAGAGGATACAACAAAAATGCCTAGGACTCAATATCTTTTGGGAGCAAAATTGACCTTTCTAGCATCACAATCCTCTATTGTCAAATAGTGAAGGACAATCGCAAAGAATGTGTTGAATTCCTCTACGAAGACTTGGAGCTTGTCATTGTTAATTGTTAAGTGTTCGATGAGACCTCATTCCTACCAGTCGATCTCCGCTGCCAATGGAGCAATCTCAAATGCAACAAATATTTTTGGGATATTTTTTATTTTTAAATATTATTAACCAAAATTTAAAATCATCTCATTCCAATTGTGCTTTCATGTCTTGCAACTTTATGAGCATTTTTATTTTATTTTATTTTATTTTTTGAAACATAAAAAGAAGGAGCAAATTATTTCAAATCTACCAACCACAATTCTCAATAATACTTGAGAAATCAAAGTAAATTAGTAATAAATATCTTAAGCAAAGCTTTTGGGAGATATAAAGTCTTGTAACAAATATGTGATCTTATGGCTTAGAAGGCAAAGCATGTAGTGGGTGGATCTAAAAAGGCTTCCAATACACATATTATTTTCTTTACTAGGTTTATTAATTGTCAAGCACAAGTTCATGCTTCCATTCTTGATCTTAAAAATTCAACTCCCCAATGGATGGCTTGGGTGCCAAGCTTAGAAAAACCATTTGCTTCTTGAGCAAGTACTTGATAAGGATTTCTTAGTTTATTCCATAGTTACCAATATCCTTGATTTCCAAAAACTTTGGTATTAGAATTTAGTCAAATTCAATAAAGAATGTACAAATGACTCTCCACATTGAAAAAATATTCTTGGATGGATGTTATCACCTATAAAGTATCCAACCATTATTTTCTAGAAGTAAAATAGAATGATTTGCATGAAAAATACTTTGTTTGGCTTGTGGATTTTTATTTGGATCTCATCTTCTTGTAATTGGTAGTTCTTTGTCATATAAATTTGCTAATAATTTATTGTATAAAATCCTCATGAATATTGTTGTTAAAGCTTCAAATTCAAGTACTTAATTATCAAATAGAAATATGATTTTTTTTTGTTTGAGTGATCTTTAATTAAAGATTTTGTAGAAACTTATCTTTGATTTAAGACCACTTTTAAAAAATATTACTATAATTGATTTTTTAACTTAAATTCAAGCTTTAAGAAGACCTAAACTAATTTTAAAAGTGAATTTTTTAGTACTAAGTAAACATTGAGGTAATAATTGAGATAGTAGAAAATAAGCCAAGACAATTAAATAAACAAAATATAGTTATGAAATATTTGTATGAAAGGCCTCAACAAGCCTACAACACATATTTTTGCATACTATAGTCACAAGTTTACAATTCTACAATATTTGAAGGAAACCATGTCAATCAAATCAAGTTTCAAAATAGCTTAGTAAAAAGATATTAGATGTGGTAGTCAAATTCTTGTATTTTAGAAGCTATCACATAAAACCTTTTGAGTATTGGCAAATGTAACAAATAAAATAAAATAAAAAAATACCAATTCTATGCAAGCAAACAACTTTAAGATGTCGAATTAAAAAGAACTCCATACATTCTAATATCTACAAGACATTTGAATGACTTATTGATGAAAGAAAGTAGATTGGACATTTGTATGATATGAACTCAAGCAATCTATAAAGACATAATAATAAATAAAAAAAAAAATCACTAATAGAAGTTGCAAGTGATAAAGGTGCTTTCCATTGGAGATTGGTATAGCTATGAGCATTACTTATTGATTAGGTTGATAGACCAACAACCAAATCAAAGAAGTTGAGAATTAATGGTATTAACTTGTCTTGAAGAGACCAATCAACAACTTTTGACACCATTTGATTTCAAAAGTAAATCACAAGGATACGGTTGAGTAGAAAAATCACAATATCATCACTTATATAGTTTGCAATAGCTTCTAACTTTATAGCCATAATATATTAATCTATCCATATCAACATGTGCAACTTCTTTTAATACTAATTATTGCAAATAATCTCTATTGCCAAAGATTACATATTTAGATTCAACTTCAATTCTAAGGGATTACAAAATGATTAGATATATAATTTAGTTCAATAGTAACTTCAATACTCATCAATAATAGTGCCAATTGGGTGGTTTGCTACACAAGTATCAATCAAAGTAGTAGTTGAAGCATAGAGATGTTGTCAATGAAATATTTGAAACTAAATTTGTACATAGCTTATATTTACAAAGGCTTTGATTTGGCCAATACTTCAACACATTGTAAGCATTTGCATTGGCATTGCTAAAATGGCAAAGATACTAGTAGTAGAAGGCATTAGCCGATATTGCATACTTTGATTAAGTGAAGTTTAAAGATGGAAAAAAAATAGACTAAAATTTAGAACACTTCTTGTGGAATAAAAACCAAACATAAAAAAATTCTATTTAACATGATGCTAAATAATTTGCTATAGTATATGTTTCATTATATTCTTAAATTCTAATGATTGGATATGTTATCTGATTATATTTGGTTTAAATTTGTGTACCATATATATTCAAAGAAACCACATTGTTTTTGAACAAAAAATATAAAATGAACTCCATGTGAAAAACATGATATAAAAAAGCTTAATAGAGTATGGATCCATTAGTTGGTCAACAACTCAACAGAGATTTGTCAAGCATTTGCATAAAAAAGCCATCTACCTTCAAAGATGAGACAGATGCTAGATGGCAAAATAACTTCTTGATATTAAACAAATTACACAATCAAATAGAATAATAAAATATTTCAAAGTAGAATAATTATATTTAAAGATGTAAAGCTTAATAAGTAGATACTTCTCTAACAATGTTAACTCCATCATTGTAGCATTAGTAGATAAGATGTCAATTCATCGTACCATGCTCCAATCTATAACACATTAGGAACACCTTAATTTGGAGAAAAATAAAACAAAAACAAACAAACAAAAACATTACATATTATGCAAACAAACAAACAAAACAAATCATTAAATATTAGACATAGAAAGGTCAAATATTATAGAAAAGTATTAAAAGAAAGGCGGACTAAGATTAACAAAAAGACATATTTTTTGCAAGAGCAAATTGTACAAAGCCTTAAGCTGAAAAATGCCTTAAATGAGAACCACGACATTGCATCCACGACCTCTGGCTTTTGCGGAGCAACACTAGCAAATCATCACAGCAAGTACCAAATTCGCAGGCATCCATCGACAGAGTTTGATTGGATTGGTTGTGTGATGTTTTGATTTTTGTTCTTCCAATTTGGGGTCTGTGTACATCCGCTCAACTCAATGTGAGTTCGCTCCGACCCAAGAATGATGACTAGTCTATGTGACGTCCCCCACTGGCGGGGTCCAAAATAATGGTTGTGTCTACTCTAATCCGACTGCCGCAGCTTGTGTCGGCGTCGAAGATCGCGCCTTCCCAAAACTCGGTCGCTTCCGCTTGACCGAGGCGCTGCCATTGATGTCGAGTATTGCTGTACAGATGTTTACAAAGCCGTGGCAAATGCCTTGGGAGTGTGCTGCGTACTGCGTAGCTTGCACAATCCTTTTTCATGGCCGCCACTTCGACGAGCCACCGTCTCCTTCTGAGCCGTCGGACCAGCCACAGCTGTGTGAGTTGCCGGGTCTCCACTTGGAGGAGCCACCATCGCCTTCCCAAGCTGGCATTTGGGTGTGCGAGATCACGTATCGAGTGTCGAGGAGAGGGCGGTTATTTTCTTTTTGTCCGCCAGGGGCGACAGCGCGCAAGGCTGCGATCAGTGGCTATCAATTGGACACTCCGGAAGCAGGAAAGGAGGAGGAGGCGGACGTCGTCCTCCGAGCCGCGTCTCAAAGTCGATGATCGAGTCGACTAAACAGGCGCCGCAGCCTGGGTTTTTTGCAGGAACGAGGGGATTTGTCAAGGCGTCGCTGGCGAGATGAGATGGATTGTGAGGGGGGAGAATTGATTGCGAGTGCTTGAGGTGGTGGAATGAGGCCAGTGCGAGCTCCCCTTATAGGAGGGGCGTCGGGCGCACTGGGGCTGCGGGACAGCTCCGGGCTTTGACCTCCAGGGGGGTTCTCGGTCAAGCTCGCCTGCGGACAACCCCTGGGATTGGAGTCGGTATGACCCAGAACCGCGTCTCCATGGTTCGCCCGTCACACGTTCTTTTAAATTGAATCTGAAGTGATTAGTGACGTCATGCGGGATATGACCAGTCAGTAGGGGGACTCGTGATTGTCCCCTAACTCGTGGTTTTGGGACTTGGGACCTGTTCCAATGGAATGGGGATGGTTTATTGAGAATCGGGGTTCTTGTGAGTCAAGAGCGTTGACTTGGCGTGGGTCCTGGGTGAGTTGTGAGGGGAGGGAGTCTGTGTTCATCGTGAGAGGGTGTTTGTTGGAGTCGTTGTGGCGTGTCCTGCTGTGTCGTGGCTGTCTTTGTGTGGACAGACGGCTTGTTTTGGATGTGCTGGATTATGTGTGCCAGGATCTCTGCTGCAATTGCTTGGGCCCGTTGATCATTTGTTTCTTCTCGATCTGTGCCTGGTTGCTCACGATTGGTTCGTGGTTCTGTTGGTGAAGGGGAAGGTCGTACCGACGTGCTTGTTGGAGTTCGCATGGCTTTAGGGGCGCTTGGTGAAGTGTCGATTTGGCGAGTAATGTTGGTGTCTTGTGTCCTCGGTGTGTTCCTCGTGTTGTGGAGGCTATTGGCAAATATGTGTGGTAAGAACTCTGGGTGTTGTTGCCGTTTCCAAAACGGGCTGGTTTGTCCTGAACAGAACAAGAATAATTGTGTCCATATGGCCAGGAATTTGTTCTCTGTAGCTGCTTGTTTGTCTTGTGAGCGTTGAGCTTAATGTTTTTGTAGCTCAGCCCATGCTCCCATTCCAACTTGAACTATGGTTTGCCATTCCTAATATAATAGAACTCCAATGGGGAACTGGCCGTTGCGAAGGTCATGTTTGCATCGTTGATACCAGATATACCATAACATAGCCCATCGAAGTATATCCTTGGGGATATGTTTAGATAACGAGCATGGGCTGCCGGCGTCCCATGAGTAGTCATCGGAGGGTTGGTCTTGTTGATATTGTGGGGTTGGTCGGTGCATGTTGCCATGTAATACAAACTCCCATGTCAGGTTTAAATTGTCCGGATTCGCCTTCTGTTTCAGCAGCGTGAATTGGTCCTGTGCTATAGCTACCAGAGAATATGTGAAAATGCGTATTCCGCAGTCTCTAGCGTCTGTCCTGGACACAGTACAGTATCCTAGAATGTTGAGACGAGTTTTCCAGGATCAAATGGAAAGTCTATCTGCCAGTAACAACCAAACCATGGCTAAGCTTTTGCAAAGCATCCATGGATGCCATAGCCGCACAAAATAGCTTTTACATTGGTTGTGTGTGAAACCCTGTTGTTGCATTGCGTGGTTGAAGCCAAGTTGATGCCCTTTCTTTTGGGGGAGTACACAGTATTCGCGTTTTGTGGTATAGTTGGATAGTGGGTTTTTCTTGTAGTGAGCCTTGCTTCCGCCAGTTCCATTTGAGTGGATCAAATTTGTTAGTTTGTACATCTCTGCCTCGGTGCGTCTATACGGAGACACTGGGATCGGGGCTTTTTTTTGAGTTATATTCGATGAACTTTCCCAAGGGGGATTTAATAACTACTTTGGCTTCATGGATTGCGGATTTGGGTGTGGAGGTCCCTTGTGAGACTACCGTGAGGAGGCTTGTGCCTCTCGTGTAATAATAATGTGTGCCCTTCAAGCTTTGTAAAGAGCGTCCTGTGATGTAAAAGACCGGTGCGCCCGTGCCTGTGGTAATCCAATCGCCCACATCCGGAGTAGTTTCGCAGTTCAAGTTCCACCGGATGTCTTGTTGTGTTTGTGTCATCAGCGACTCGATCCTCTATGATTTTGTTTGTTGCCCGATATTTCTCGTACTTTAGAATGTCTGGCTTCCGGTGTCCCATAGGTCGCCTACCCAAAAGATATCCTTGTTTGACCAGTTTTTGTATTTGGAATTTCCTTCCTTGCCTAGTTTGATTTGGTTTGTTGTGCATATTTCTGGGTTCAGGTAAAGAAGTTGGTGACCCTGTTCTGCTGAAGTTTTGGACGGTGTTTTAACAAGGCTCTCTCTAACCAATGCGTCCAATGCGTCCAATGAGACCAATGCGTCCCAAATAGCCTTCCATAACTCCAAGCCTTGTGGTTTGATGCGATGGGCCGAGAAATGCCATCCTTCGTCTCAGCCCCAATCGCCATCCTTCTGAAGTTGTAGATGGTAAATGTAATGTGTTACAAGAGACTTCCAAGGTTCTAGGTATTGTTCTGGAAAAATATCATACATGCCCCTGAAATTTGCCGAAATATCAAGAATAACAAATCCACCCCTCATTGTAAAATTGCCCTTCATCTTAACAAGCTATATATTTCTTGTTTTTTAAGTTTGACTGGGGCCCAACCGCAGCGCTTTTCGTGTGTTTCTGGGCCCCGCGCGAGATGGACGCCCCCGCCCCCGCTGCCATGTCCTGTCCACAGCCTAATCGATGGGCTTCAGCACTGGATTGCGCTTCATCAGAGGCCAAGCGTCTAGAAACGTCTACACAAGGCACTTCTGACCCGCAAGGCAGTCGATAGGAAGTAAGATCATCTAGCAGTGCAATATCAACCAAATATATGGGCATCTAATGAGTCAGAACTGTCAGCTGGACAAACCAACTGATACAGAAGAAGGAATGTGGACTCACAATTGCATCCTTTCTAAGGACTCACTGATACGGATAATAGCCTCCAGTTGCCGAACGGTGATTGGTACTGGTGAGCCTTTATTCTCATCATTTTGTTGACGCATTTTCTGTAAGGTAGTCCCAGGATAAAAATTAACACCTCCAATAAAACCATTTGAATATGCAACCATAAGAGGTGGAGACCTACCGACATGTGTCTTGAAAAACACTTGGGAATAGCATCGGAAAGAGCACATATCTACTACCTATCGAATCTTGACATAGTTACTTTGGAGAAGTTGCACCGTTGAATCTGATAGGCGAGGGCTGCAGTGGGATTTCGAGTATTCAATATACCTGCTCAAACCATAAAAAACACAGTTCAATCAGCAACACAATCAAATCCAACAACTTGGGTAAGATTGGCAAAACACTACAAAACAGGTATCAAAATCTCGATGATCCAGAATGCAGTTGAAAACTAGCCACTAGAAAAATAAAATAAATAAATAAATAAATACTGACTATGCTTCTCTGGTCAGGTAAAGATCGAAAGTATTTTCATCTTGATATGACTTCAAGTGCAAAGGCTGAACATAACCATCATATTATTACACCGAAATCCATGCAATCTAATGCTTTTGCTTCACAATGTTCATACCGTCTAAGCCAATTCTCCTTGTCCTGGACCTTTGTGCCTCATACAATTGAATCAGCAGTTGCATAAACATTGACAATATGCCGTGCAATTTGCTGCAGATTCAAAAAATAAAAAACCAATTGTCGATGACGTTAATCTCTAGGATGCACACAAAGCTCGTCGATGTGGTTATTTTTCTTACGAGAGTGTTTTGTTGCAAATTGGATCAGCTACAACGGTAAATTTCCACAATAGAAGTGTATGATAATGGCTAATCATGTCTCTCGCATAATCTCGTGCATCCTTGGCTATAAAAATTAAGTTTGTTCGAGACAAAATCGTTTTCTGCAAATCGATGTTTTCTTGTGCTGTCTACATACCAAGGCATACCAAGAAGGTAGATAACCAGTTGTCATAATGTCAGGAGAAATTCTTCATGAAATAGAAAGAACCGGAACAAATCACAAGTGTCGAGTAGGCCAAGGAACTAAAGCTGCAAATAAAAACAGAGAAGCATTAAGACCTTCAGATCATCATAGCGGCCCGATGGAGGGTTAGCAGCTGCTAGTACTGAAGTCCGGGGGTTCAGTACATTAGTTATACCAGCTTTTGCTACAGAGATTGTTTGCTGCTCCATGGCTTCGTGTATAGCAACCCTGCAGAATATGATCTACAGAATAAATGACAACAATTTGTGCCATATATCTATCATGTACAGAATGACGGATACACAAAAGCTTGGTCCGGAAGTAAAGTAGATCCTATTGATTTTTAAAACGAATAGGCCTGGAAAGAGGCACGCATCTGTCTTCAGGTTGCATTGTGTAAAACTCATCAATGCAGACAACACCTCCATCAGCAAGAACCATTTTTGCACCGCTAGTGCCCGCTTCACATGCACTCATGGCAGAAGCTTAAGCGGCCTACCCACATCGAACTAAAATGCCATAGCTGGTTGAACGACTACCTGTTCTCCAGGCACTATACTTCTTAGTGAGCATCTAGACTGAAGGCACTCAGAGCAGAGGCGATCGATTGACAGGCTTGTGCATTGACGTTAATTCGCCGTTGTGCGAATTTTGAAGCTTATGGCTTCCAGTTTGAGCTTTCTAGATTTAAGCTTCGAGCGAGGTGGCGTGGCCCAAGTTGCTCCGACTGACTTGTCCTACCGACTACAATACAACGTAAACAGCGGCAAGTGTGCGTTGTATAGACGTTTCTAGACGCTTGGCCTCTGATAAAGCGCAATCCAGCGCTAAAACCCATCGATCAGGCTCTGGACAGGACATGGCAGCAGGGTGGGGGCCTCCATCTCGCGCTAGGCCCAGAAACTCACGAAAAGCGCTACGGTTGGGCCCAGTCAAATTATAAAAAAAACAGTAAATACATAGCTTGTTAAGATGAAGGGTAATTTTGCAATCATCACAAAAATGAGGGGTAGATTTGCTATTATTGATATTTCGGCAAATTTCAGGGGTATGATATTTTGATTATGAGGGCTTTGGTTTGAAGAAGGGGGGTCAAAGATTATTTAGGCAAATTTTAGGAGCATGTAAGATATTTGCCTATCAACACTTTGGTTTGAAGAAGGGGGTCAAAGATTTTAAGGCCTTTCCATGATGGAGGATGTGATAGTTGTGTCCCATGTTATCTTAGCCCAAGTTCATTTATCCAATTCACTTGTCCAAATAAAATTTTGTATTTATTTAGATGCAGAGGAGGATTCATTTGTGAATATCATTGTAGAAAGACAGATACCAAATATTGCCAAGAATCACTTATTTTGTAATCAAAACTCATGCATGCAAAGAAAGTTGTTGGATTGTCCATTTAATTAGCTTGTTTCTTATCTGTTGCATGACTACTATATCCTTGGTAGATTGGAAGATACTATTATCAAAAGAAATAAAAAAGAAATAAAAAACCAATGTACTTTATTGATGTCTCTTGTATTAGCCACACTAGTTCTTTTTCCTTTCTCTATTGCCAATTCTTTGTTGAATTATTGACCCAAATTACCATAAATTTTATCCAATTAATTAGTAAATCTAATGCATCGTAGAATATTTTTAGGATGTTGAAGATTTATTATAGATTTGTTGGGATGCCTTTGAAGAAGAGGGTATTATTATCAACAAATATAAATAGATATAAGTAAGGTATTAATAGGCTCTCTTATCTTACTAATCTCTAGTTAATAATTTTTTTGCTCTTGTAGCCATTGATAAGAATTGATGAGCTAGCATTTTGGTACAAGACATGAGTCTATTTAATCTATTTGTTTGAGAATCCGAATTTGCTCATAATTTGCTTCAAGAAGATTTAATTGACTTTATTGTATGCTTTTTCAAAGTCTAGAAAAAAGATTATAAGATCTTGGTTGCTTTCTTTTGTCTAATGGATTGATTCTTGGATTAGGAGCATGTTTTTTAAGGATGTATTTGTTCTTCACAAATCTTATTTGTATTTTCTTGATACATTCATGGAATAGTAGTTGTAGTCTATTACCTAATATTTTAGTACCTAATATGTATGTGGCTATCAAAATGATTATTGGGTGATAATTTTGGATGTTATTTATTGAACTCTCTTTGGAAATTAAGCTAAATAAGCCTTATTATAATTTGTTTTATATTATTCCTTCTTAAATGTGAAATTTAAGTACTATATGATACCTTTTTCTACCACTAGTTACAATTAAAAAATGAACTGGGTGAAAATTGCATCTTTTCTTGTTATTTTTTTTTTATTTTTTTATTTTTTTAGTAGATCTTGTACTACCTAATGTACTTCCTTCAAGATAATGAGAGTAATAAGTGTGTTATCTGAGCCTCTATGATATAGTGTGGAATACTATAGAAAAGTTTATTATTGATTTGAAAAAGCACAAAGCTTCTTATTGTAGGAATCTTTATTGTTTTTGTATGTCTTAGTTTTTATCCTCTTCTTTGCATTATTTTATACTGATTTATCAACCAAATCTTCAGTTACACTTAATCTAATCTACTTCATTTGAGACTTATATAATTCAATGTAATATCAATGCAATGATTTCAAACTTTTTTAAATAGATTAAATATTTTATTTCTTTTTTATTTTTTAGATTTTAAATTAATTAATGACTTAAATCGTTTATAGCAATCAAATCACATGGGCCAATTATTTGATCACCTCACAATCCTACACCTACTTATTTTTTTGTGCATATCTCTTTAATCAAATATTAAAATACTTTAAAAATTAATAAATAGATTTTTGGCTTAATAAAACAACTAAATTTTAAGTTTTATAATCATAGCTTTTATAAACATTAAGTTATGACCTCTCAAAGTTATTGCCTTTGACTTGCAATCTTATTTTATTTCTTTTCTTTTAATACTTTTTTTCCTTGACCTAATCAATTTTTGCCATCAAACTTTGTATATAGGTAGATACACTTGTTTTAAACAATCCCCTTAAATTTTTTTCTAATTAAGGATTCCAATCAATTACAATAGACTTTTTTTCAAGATCTAAAGTTTGTTCTTTTTATTCACCAAAATAAAAGATAAAATAACCATAACAACCATATTCTTGTGCTTATCAGCTCTCCTTTAAGTCAACTTGATACTTTAAAAATATCACCAAGATGTCTCTCCAATGAGAATCCACTACATGTAGTCTATACTATCTTTATTTTCATCTTCAAAAATATTACCAACATGACTTTAAGATGAGAATCCACCACTTGTGGTCTGTCCTAACTTTATCTTCAATCTCAAAAATATTACCAAAAGAACTCTAAGATGAAAATCCACCATGTGTGGTCTATCTTATTATCCTCATCTTCTAATCTTCTTGGTTATTAATCTTATAGCCAATCATCTACTAATAAACAAAATAGTACATGAATTAAAATTAATATATAAATAAAAATAAAAAATCACTAATATTAATCTAATTATATACTTAAAATAGGCATAATATACATGAATGCCTATTGATTAACTATTAAATAGCCAACATCATGATAATATTATTCAAGCAGAGATTTCTCCTCTCTTGGTTAAATTTCATTATTAAGTCATTATTGTAGAGGTTTTTTTAAGAAGTTGTATAGTATTTTGAGATTACATCTTATGTCAGTAAGTAATAGTCTTCATCCTTGATTTCTTAGATAGTTGTGTATTTCTATGTATTTTTATAAAATTTAAAGACTTCCTTGGAGTATCTATCGCCAATTCAATTTCATTTTGCAACTATAGCATTCTTGGAGTTTTTTAGTTTGTAATACCTTATTCTTTTGAATTGGACTTATACCAAGTTCATGAAATTTCATGCTTGCATGTTTGATCAATTTATCTATATTACAATTTTAGCTTCATTAATGACTATAAACTATTCTTTATATATGTGGTAGTGTGTCCATTTGTAGTAATAGATTATAGAGGCACTAATGTGGCAAATTTGTTTTAATGTCATAGCTACTCATTTGTGGATGTTGTCAATTTATGTGTTCTATATAACATCTTGCTATGTATAAGTAAAGGTAATTTTGGCTTTAATGAAATGGAATAAAGTTTTTTTGAACACCAATTGCCATTTGCAATAAAGTGTCTCATATCATATACATAGAAAAATTGATATATGATCCAAAAGATATGTTAGATGAGGCCAAATTCCATGTATTCTTTTATGGTGGTAAAAATCATAACTTGAATAGAAGTAGTTGAACTTAGACTAACTTGAACTAGGATTCTATTAGTTCCATGTATAGTATTTTTGTTTTTGATTTATTTGAAAGTGCCAATGTGGAATTAATCTCAGATTCTTAGTTGTATAGCAAAATTAATCCATGTGGTTAATTCTTCTTGATTTATACTTTTGAGATTGGAGTTTGTATTCCTATCTTTGATTTTTTTAGTTATATTGAAGTCTTTGGCTATAATCTAGAAGATTGAGTAAAAAAAATGGTAAAATAAGAGATTCTATTATTGGACCTATTAGCTTGTGATATTTAGAGCATATATATTAAAGATACCTATGTATTGGCCGTTGATATCTGAAATTATGAATTGAATCATTTCTTCAATTTTAAATTTATATAATATTACTCATGAAGCTAAGTGTTTGGAAAAAAAAATAGTTTTGCTTCTAATAAATCACCCTCTTTTTACTATATATGCAGTATTATTTCAATAATTGATTCTTTCTTGAAATTATAATTGATTGGTTTGATGTAGACAATTTTCAATTCTATAGTAGTATTCTTGCAATAAAATAATCTTTAATTACAAATTTTCTTTCCTAAAATAGTTTCATATCTTGGATCTCTTATGTACTCCCTAAATATCTTATCTAAGTAATTTAACATTCATAGAAGATACTACCAAGTCTTGTATTTTTATTTTCGAAGTATGATTTGTGAGGTGCCAAGAACATTAAACTCTTCTTTGAAAGTATCATCTTCATAGTGAATCTGATGTTCTATATGTGGTGTTGATAATCTTGTCTTCATATTTGACTTGATTGCATACAAATTGTTACCAAATTGATTTATTTGTAGTAATTCTTGTACTGCATGTGCTATGGAAATAAAGAAGGGATGGACATTTCTTTTAGAATTTGAAGAAATAAAGTTCTATAGTATTGAGGCAAAGAGGATCTATAGGTGTTAGTTTGATTTTTGTTACTTGATGTTTGGAAAGATGGCTAGAATAAAGACCATGCAAATGCATTGGCTAATCTTATTGTCACTCTTCTCCCATTTATATCTCTAAATAGCATCCTCCCATATGCATAGGAGGTTCATAATATTATGTATGTTTACAATGACTTTAAATAAAATATGTGCCATCTTGTTGAAGAGAATGGTATGGACTTATTTAGTTGACTAAGTAATTTATTTTTCAAGTATCAAAATTTGATCATATGCCATCGGTTGCTTGTCTTTTATACTTGGCCATGCTAAAAAGTGATAATAATAATCTATCTGTGGTAGTTCTAATATAATGAAAAAAAATAAAAATATTCTATATCTATATATCTAAATAGAGACTATTATTGTAGAAGGAACTACCTTAATAAACATATCTAATAATATAGTAGTACAATGAAAATTTTTATGGAAGTTCAAATCAATTGATCCTATCTTATTATAATCAAGATG